TCTCCAGTTTGAGCCGTGGTGAGTGGATGGGAAACCTCCAGACAACTGCATATGGGAATTCCCCCTGCCAAACTATAGCACGGAACAGATGGAGTCATCTCCCAGCATCTCTATGATGCTGCAAACTATTCTCTAATGATTAAATATGCACAATTTAAAAATAGGAACGAGTGCCAGGGCCAAAAAAAGCAGCTCTTCTTTTTATATCTCTATATGCATAATGAGCGGGGATTGATGTGCCAGTGATATTTTGGCTGGTCATGATTTCAGCGTGGCTCAGTGTCTGTTTCCTGAAAAGTCAATTTAATCTCCTCRTTTCCAATTTGGAGCATCAGCAATGCTCCTTCTCTTTTCCACGTCCCCTTTGCTGACCTGCCTGAAGCTTCAGAGTGGGAATGCATATTGGATGGAGAGAGATATGAAAGAGATTGTATCTTTTATTTCATTTTTTTTAAAGTAAGAGTAAAGTAACTGCAGTATAACAGCTCTGGGGCAAAACATCACCATCCTTCAAAGATGTAAAAGTAATGTTTCCTTCACAGCCCTCATAACACTTTAGAGACCTGGAGAACTGAAGTCTTCCCATTCCCTAAAATGAGGATTTCACCAGCAGAGCCCCATTCCCTCATCACTGCGACTTCCAGGGCTGGGTGTAGGGACTGAGGCTGCTCCAATCACTCAGAGCACCTCCTGCTGAATAAATGTGTGCAGGGATAAGGATTATGGCTGCTCTGCTCTCTGTTTAATTAAAAAAAAATCCTTTCCGTGGACCATAACAGCTGCTTTATTTGTAATGACATTTTCCAGTTCTTSTGATGTGGAAAGAAGGGGGGAGATCACAGAACAGGCTGCTTTTAARCCARTATTATTCTGTTGTTATTCTAGGGYGWTATTAAAGTATCAGGAAATGCTTTCCAAAGCRGGAAAAGTAAAGAGGGCTTGACCAAATTGAAATAATTCCCTTCAGCAGAAGTTTTAGAATTTGCACATTTCTTTCCCCCAAATTCAAGACAAAAAGGGAATGATGCCCTAAATGGCAAAGGCAYCTAACTGCTCAAATCACAACCAGGGAGAAAAAAATACCAAAAGGTTGCATTATTTCTAAATTCTGCTTTTTTTCTCTCTGCCTAGTAAAGTACTGTGAGGAGAAAATAAGTAAATAATCAGGAGTAGATGCTGCAGTTGGAAGATTTGCTGGTTTGGGTCCATGAAGGCACCTGGGACTGTTGGGAGTTCCCATGGCAACCTCAGCATGGACAATTAGGGAGCAGCCACAATGACTCTGAWTATGCCTGTTGAGGAGGGAGTTTCATTTTTGAGATGGCCCCAAATGATGCCATTCCAGAGARAAAATTCACAGCTAAAGGTTGCAAAATAGTGATTGAAAAATAGTGACAGCTTTTATCCWGCCTCCACTTCCTCCAGGGGTATATTTTTATCTCTAAATATTAATAATGATGTATCACGTATAAATCACTGAGGACAGATTTGATCACACTGCTAAATTAGCAGATAATAGATTTGTGAGTTTGAAGGAGAGGTGAGATCCAGAAAATACGTACAATGAATAAAATCCGTCGTGTGGAAAATACTGCATTGCACCTCTGCATAATGTACCTCAAGTTCTGTATACTGCACAATTGAATATAATAAGAAAATTCCTTGCAATAAAATCCCAAAGGTTAAAAAAGCCCTGTCCTTCTCAATTCTTTCTTTTCCAAATTTGGTCCCATTTRTTGGGCATTCTGGGCAAAGGTTGAGTGTTAATTTTTCAGTTGGTTCAGAATGGGCCACGAGGAAACTTCTCAGGACAAACAGTTTTTGGCATTCAGCTACAAATAAGTGAAGAGAGTATTTAAATCTATTGTTATTTATAATCCTGTATAGCTATTTTATGGTAGATTTACATTGAATGAATGATTTAAGAATCTGTTGCAGAAGGTCCAGGGAGCAAAGCAGCATTTCCATRAGATTTGGGTGGCTGAGAACCCCATTTCCATCAGAACTCTGGGCTGTGAAAGCACTGTGTTGAGAAGGATGGGATGGAACTGTGTAAATCATTTGAGATCAGTGACAAGGCCAAATCTGAAAGCTGTTGGAATTCAGATACAGGCAGGTATTTCTRAAATTCTGTTTTAAATATGAGGTAGTTCCCAAGTGGTCTTGGAGGGCCTACTCCCCACGTTTCTAAATTTCAGTTAAAGGGGAAAAGTCTAAGATGTTTTTAGAACATCTTAGAGTTTTCAAGATCAGAAACTGATCTCAGGAATTCTACACTTATTGGCTCTCTGATCTTTCATAACTGAAAATAATCTTATCCTTTCTTACTATTGAACAATGAAATCCTAATCCTAAACTTTCTGTRCTCTTGTGGAGCTTAGGTTTGTGTACAACCCTTTACTCCGAAGGCCACCACTCTTCATTTTAAGCATTTGATATTAGTAATGCAATATTTCTGTGGAAATCATTGTAATTTTGTACTCAAAGTGAAATCGCTGTAGCTTGGCTACCAATCACATGGTCATATATAAAAAAATAGATATATTTTATAGCACCAGAACAACAGGCTGGGCTGGGAAGCCCTCTGGAGTTASTCCTTCCATCAACTGATAAATGAGAAGGTGGCCCAGCCTGACCCCTGGTCTATCTGTATTTTTAATCTTCCTGACAAATCCACTCCCTGAGGAAAACGACAGCCAAGACCTGCAATCTTCTTCCTGGAAGGCTGSTTTTAGAGCAGTGGAAATATTTATTTAGATGATGTCATTAAATCCCAAATAGCAGCRTTTTTCTCAGCACTGTCTACTTGTTCCTTATCACAGGGCACTGAAAATAAAACGCCTGTGCAAGGCAGGATGGAAATGATAACAGGAATAAAGTAAAAGCTGATCAGAGTCAGCAGCACTCCTGTGCCGTACCAGAATAGCTAATAAGTGAAATATCACCATCCAGACATCTGTGCTGCGAATTTTTGGAAGCCATCACAGTGATGCCCCTCAGAACCAAGGAAGAATATTCCATGGAGGGTGCTGCTTCCCTCTGCTCCTCCTCCTGATGGCAAACTCTGAGAGGACAAGAGGATGGACCCAAATCCTTCAGCCATGGAACCCTACACCACACCAGCTTTGGCCTTGTTATCATTCAGGGTTTGTTCAGTCACCAATATTCTCATTTATCATCACTAAGGTTTAAAACTGCTCACTGGGACTTGGGAAATCACATTCCAGGAGACACCGAGTACCTGCTGAGCCCTGTTCCCTTCACTTGATTAATTCAGCCACTCCAAAAGCACCAGCCAGGCCACCCCAGAGCAGGGAGAGCCCCAAATACCCAGTGCTGAGCCTGAACTAATTAGGTTTGAGGCAGTCTAATTATTTCTGAGGCAGAGCTGCCCCTTGGTGAAGCTGCTGCCTCCAGGACCAGCTCCAGGAGCTTTACAGGAATYCTCTCCACTCCATTGCAGGACATGGATAAACCCTGTCTGCTCTTCCTGCAACCAAAGCATTTACAGCAGGGTKAAGAATCAGCCTCAGAGTTTGTAAATTCAATATGCAAACACACTGCAGGTAATATCTGACATTTTTAAGTGGGAAATTTTAGTGACTCGTCTTCGTTCTGTCTCTGACCTGAGAAAAAACAGGGAARTTTTTACACCTGTCTCACAAATATCCACCCAATTCCAGCCTCTGCACAATGCCCAGAAACAGAATTACTTCTGAAGTTATTCTTTCYGGGAATGATAAAAAATAAACATGATCTTGGATAGCAAATGACCCAGAGCAGCAAAACGAAATCACATCGGTCAGATCATGACTGGAAAGAAAGGAAAATGGAATGGAGGCTCAAATACTTCTCAAATGTGTAACAAAATCACAGCTCATGCTGCAGACATGGGAGCTGATCCAAATGTGTTCAGAAGAAATGGGTGCACCTTTTCTTTTCCTTTCTTGCAAGTTGAGCCGTTTTTCCTCACTTGCGTGGGTTAACCCATCTTTTACAATAACAATGGAGAATCCTGCCTGATGGTGAACATAAAAAATGGCCATTTCAGCTTGAAAGGAAACAGGCAGGTTTGTTTATGCACAACAGGTACATTCATCATGGTTTGGACAAACAGCTTGGCTGAGGCTGTAAATGTCCCAGCAGGAAAAGGCGAAAGCAACAGCGCAGGTTGGGATATTCACAGCTGCAGGGGAGAGGGGCTGGAGCCACCAGCAAACCTCTCCCACTCCTCCTGTCCATCTCCTGGGCTCTGTGACTGGCAAATATTTTGTTGGAATTCTGGCTGAGGTTGTCAGAAGGGGCCGAGTGAGATCATTAATAAAAACTTGCTTTTTGTGGCATCGTGAGATCGTTCTGGTTGCCACCAACCTTGGCAGCTGGCACCACCGAYGGAAAGGAACTGCAGGAAACAGCACTTTTCTCCAGATTTTCTTTTTTGTACATAACCAGCAATACCTCTTATCCTTAAAAAAAAATCCTTAAAAAACATCCATCCCCATGCTCCAGAGAATTTCACATCAAAACCTTCTGCAAAGGCTTGAAACCCCAAAATCACCAACACTGCAAGTATTTTCTTCAAACACCCCAACTTACAGCACAAAACACTCCAAGTATTAGAACACTGTCGTTTCTGAGAATTTCATTTGTGAAATAATGCAGATATCGGTGATAATGGCTGGCAGATTTTGCAGCAGTTGTTAAAAGAGACATTGAAATTATTCCATATACTTGACAGAACATATTTTAAAATACCGACTCCTAAGTGTCATAGCAGAGAAGCTGAACTGTCAGGAAAGTGATGCCACCTCTGAATTAAAGATTTGAATTAAAGATTTGAATTAAAGATTTGGTCGAATCTTCAAGAAAACCAAAGACACACAGGGCTGTCACAGGAACAGAAATAGGAGCACTACAACATATTTGAACTGACTTCTTTTTTTTGGTAGTAAAGTGAAAAATGTAATATAGAGTTGCATATATTTGTGTTTAATCCTCACCTCAAACTTCTGCCGGAGCTCTGCGTTTCCATCTTCATCGGCATCTGGAATTGGAACGTTGTAATATTCACCCTCTTCTTGATTCAGCAGCTTGTACCTGTGGAAGGTTTGAGGAAAAAACTGGTGAATTCAGCTGCTAAAAGAATTGGTGATTTTACAGCTTTTTCCTGACAGATCTAAAATCTGGTTTGGTTGGTTGTGTGTGGTTTGTGTCAGTGACAAAGTGAGTGAAAAACTGATCTCAAAGAGCTAAAGCAAACTCAGAAATAGGATTTATTGTACTTGAAATCACATCTTTAATCCCAAAYTGTCTGTCAAAGCGGTTTAATGGGCGAGGAGGTTCTTCCCACTCATGCTGGGATTTGATGGGAGACACCAGCCCTGAGGAGGAACCTTCCATGGCCCTGCACAARTGCCTTTGGAGAAATGTCCTTTTTGAGGAGATGTGGGGAGTTCCACCCCTCTCCTGGTAGGTAACGAGATGGCATTTTATGAAATCATTCCCATGTGCTTTGAATTGGCAGAGCTATATATAATGTGATACACTGAGTATCGAACACATCGGATTTGAGATAAAAATAACATTTGTATCACAAGACTGTGTGCACAGAAAGGAGTTTGCAGCAGCTCCTGGCTCCATCAGAAGTTTCAGGAACACCACAAAAGAAAAGCAGCTGTTTTATTATCCTCCTTTGATATATCCAGCCTATGTTTCCTAGGTTTAGTTGCACTTTCAGGGGATTTATAGCCTGAAACACAGCAAAAAGCTCAAATAAAAGGTAGATCATCTTGAAAAAAAGGACAGGTTTAAAACTTTTGGTGGTACATTCCTTCTCTTTTCAGAAACTCTTACCATCCACTGGCTGGCATTTTCATAAGCTCTGACACCCCAAAAGACAGAGATCCCATGAAATCATTCCTGGTTGTTCGATCCCAGTCCCAGACCTCTACGGATAACCGGCGGTCTTTGTCYGTGGGTTTTAATTTACTGAAAAAGAGACAAACGGAGGAATTTTCAAGGCTGAAATGAACAATTCAACAAAAAAAACCCACACAAAATCAGCGTGTTCAACTCACAAGGTGAAGGACTCGTTCCAGTCCGGGTTCAGGGTGGAACGGATGGTTTTTGTTTTTTGTTTGCTCTCGTTCTTGGGGTCTGGGATGAGCTTCAGCTTGACATAAGGATCTGAGAGTCCATTTGGATCCATGGGAATGAGGTTTTTTGCTTCTCTCACTGTCAATACAAAGCACAGCTGGTTTGTACGGGATTACACATCACTGCTGAGAGAGAAATAGCAGAGCAGAACTATGGAAAAACGTTGGTGAATAAATCAGATGTGAAAATCATCAGAAACTGCTCCTTGGGAAGGGAGGCTGCACTGAGTGATGTTTGTGAGAATAGCAGGGAGCAGTGACAGGAGAGGGGAGTGAATCACAGGCAGCTCCCCCTGAATGCCACGACTGAAACCTAAACCCAGTGCTGGGATTTTTCTGAGCAGGTACCAAATCTCAGCGTTTTTGTTCCTCTGTCAGTCTGAGGTTACACAAACACAAGATTGGGAGACACTGAGAGCAGCAGCCAGACCTCGGTGGATTCCAGGGGATCAGGGCTTTGACACAAGCACTCTGAAGTGACAGTTCTCAGTGCAAGCTGCTTTCTCTCATCCTATTTTGGGGTTTATTATGGCTTTTTTAGTTTGGTTTTTTTTCCCCAGCCTTCTTCTGCATGGTTCTTGYGCACTGCCAGATTTGGCACGGGAGCTATTACTTCAAAATCCACTTTTTGGATTTCTATTCCTACGCTGCAYTTAGCCATAAGAGAGGCGCAGAACCTTCCACGTGCTCTACAGCTTCCTAAAAATACACACCAGTGAGTTTTTTGCTAAAATCCTTAATTGTAGCAAAAATTGCTTAATTTTATCTTCTTCGGGCTCTGCTTTTCTGTTTCAATTTTACCTGCAGAAGCTSGGTGTGAAATGGGCAGAATTTTGAGTGGAGAGACCCCTGGACAAAGCCATCCCTGCCCTGATGCCACAAAGCAGCATGGGCAGTGTGGGTAAAATTGCTGCTTTCCTCTGCAGCAAACACAGAAAATGGGAAAAAAACCCTCTAAATTCAAGAAAGAGGAGCTCAAAGATTAATTGGGAAGGAAAATGYGAGTGTACTAAACACAGGCTGCTAACGAAGCCGTTCTCTCACTCTGATTTTAAGATATCTTGAGGCCCATTTGTACTTTTGTCTGCATAATTAATACCCTCAGACATCTTTTTCCAACTGACTTAGCACTTCTTTTCCCGAGGAAACGGCGTGATGATCCTTGTGCTAAATAGTGCTTATCAAGAATTAGCATCCAAGTGCTTCATCTCGTTAATTTGCCCTATTTTTAACGGGGCATTGCAGGTTTCTCTGGGAGAACTGACACCAAGAAGAGATTTCCCCTCCCCACCAAAAGCCCAGMCTCTTGAGTGAGGTTGAAAAAGCAAAATGAAAAATAACTCCATGGAAATCAATCAGTTTACAGCGGCTGAATTTGGCTGTAATTGTAACCATAGCAAGGGATCTCATCCCGCTCAGTAATTAACTGTTAATTAAACTCAGCTCTCTGATAGAGATGCTTGAAGGGAGGTGCAGTTCTGCCTCACTTTGGGCAGAAATCTGAAATAATTCTTGTCAGATTTCTGCCATAAATATTAAGGATGATCATGATTTCTGTYCTGAGCAAAGCAGCTGCCACCAGATGAATTTCCAAACATTTTGTCCAGACTGGATTCATAATGGGAGCTGAGAAAGCAACAGAGAAAAAGACAGCAAAGACAAATATGGATTGAAGTCTCCAACAAATCCAGTTTTGCTCAGATTTTCCTTCTAAAACCCAGAAATATTTATCAACCYGCATGAGGGAAAAATATGCCATTTTCCTCCTCCTGGTTCACAGAGATCATAAATGTGTATTTGGCAGAAAATGCAGATTATTTGGTGGCTCTTCTGTCAAGTGCTGGTTCTAAACCAGCCGGGAGCCAGGCCTAAAATTGAGACGCCCACTTCTCCAGGAATAGTGTAGGACATTGTAGGTATTCATACTTGAAATAAAATCCTAAATAAAACAGAGTGGGCTGGTGGAGAACAACTGACATTTCATGCAAAGAGAAGAAACTYAGGCAGGATTTTGAGGAATTCAGAGAGCGGATGACAAAGTTGAAACTTTTCTCCAGGTCAACAACAGCAGCAGATTTTCTGCTCCTTGCAGCTTTAGGAAAATAGAGTTAAACCCTCCTGAAAATTCTGGGMTGTGTCTGGGTGTRTTTTAATAAAATTTATGTAACATGGGGCACATTAGATACCAAATCCACCATCCTGTCCCTAAATCAGTGCCAACAGGGCAGATGTCCCAGTGCCTGAGAGGTCACAGTTCAAAAGCCTAATATTGGTTTGTGTATCACTGCACCAGATGGGGTTCTTTTTCTCACAAAGGTTATTGTTCTTTCACTATGAAAACAATTCCAAAATAAAGCTGAAAAAAAAAATAAAAATCAGAACTGTGATTTAACCACCTACGAGCTCGCTCAGAAGAGCCCTGAATTATCAGATGGGTCAAGGAGTAAATGTGAGAACGAAACAACTTTTAACACACATCAGGAGGAAGAAAATTCAGTGTAAAATGCAGAGATTAAGAATAGCAAAAAGCACTTTACTATGYCTGAGAGCAAACCCCCCACGTCAATCCAACCCATGAAAGGGTCACGAACTCGGTGATTTCAGAAATGTGCGTTTCSAGAGTGTTTCTATAAAAAGAAAACCACCACATTTCTGTACTGCAAACTATAAATTATTAATATTCAACGCAACTCTCGAGCAAGCAACTCAACCATTGGAAATAAACCACGGGTGTTTGAGGATTGCACAAATGAGCATTGAGTGGGGCAGGTTGAGCAGCCCTGGGAAGATGGTGAGGTTTTGGCAGAGGATATCAATCCAAAATTCCTATTCTTTTTGTGAAGAAGTGTTGCAGGCTCTCTAAAATTCACCCAGAAATCCACTGGGTGGGAGATGTGAGTTGGTTAACTGGAATTAAATGTGTTTGTGCATAGGACTGAGTGATTCCCAGCATTTATTCCATTCAGAATGGATAAACTGGTGCCAGTTTGGAGATTGTAGATAATCTGARGGAGCCACTGGGCAGCTCCACCTGCCTCACCTCCTTCCTGGCATTCACTGGGAATTCAAACCCAGCCCCATTTCCGACATTTGATCAGSAAAACACTCCGTGTGCATGAATTGTGGGGCTTTTTGGAACAAAAGGCACTGCAGAACCTTCCAAGGAAGGAGGCAGAGGGACAAAAAGAGAAATTGGGATGTGCCAAATTCCCCATATCCCCCAAAGAGCCACATCCTGCAGCGATCCCTTGCCAGCTGTGCCCTGGAGGGGTTTGGATGCCCCTGGATTTGCAATTTGCCCCCAGCAGTGGCACAAAATGTTCTGCAGGTGATGGAGGCTGGCTGGGAAGGAACCAGCAGGAGCTCATTACCAACCCAAACAGGATGCAGAGCAGAGAGATTGAGGAATTCAGCTGCAGGAGCTCAACACCTGCGGGRTAATTCCTGTGCAAAAAGTCCCAGACAAAGGCTCAAACCTAACAGGCAATCATTGATTATTTTTCCTGCTGTTCCTAAACCTCCTGGACATTTAATTCACCTCCTTTCCCAAAGCCAAAGGCAGTGATGTTGCCTCTGGGAGGTCTGAGAGCTGTATATTCGAGCAGAGGTTTTGTCAATAAATATTTTAGGAGCAATGACATTCTAGGAGAGATTTTTTGCACAGCAATATGCCCCTGAAATGGCAATTGCTCATTTCCTTTTCAGTTAAACACACACAAAAGGCACCTGAAATGTAATTTTGGCTTGGTCCATGTAGTATTCTTTATTTAAATAAAAAAACAAACCAACAAAAAAAAAACCCCAATACCCTCCCCCCCCAAAAAACCAAACCAAAACAAAAAAAACACATAAAAACCCTCAAAAAACAAAACCCAAACAACAACAAAAAATGCACACACACACAAAAAACCCCAAACAAAGGGGAAAAAAAAGCACAAAAAAAATCACAAAAAGCTCCAAAAACCCAACAAAAAAGAGCAGCTTGGTTTCAGGACAATGGTCATTTTTAGTGAAAGAAATTTTCAGAAAGTTTGGAAATGCTGACAAGCCTCAACCACAACAACAGCACTGGAATTGTTTTATACAAAACAAGATTATGGTAAACCTTTTTCTTGTCCAGAAACCTACTTAATTGCGGGATGGAAATGTTTTATTTATAAACACAAYAGAAATGGCATTTGCCAAGTACACTCACACCCAAAAGAGCCTGTGGAGAAAACCTACAAAATACCTTAAAACTTCATTGTGTTCATCCCTCAGAAAATTTATTAATTTTTAATAAAACTGTGAACTAACAGAATCCTTGTTTGCAAATTCATTTTACAGTGCCCTGGCACCACAAAGCCTTGTGGCACACGTTTTTTTGTCCCTAAAAGGATTTACAAACCAACTGAATCATCAGGAAATAAGCACGTGCTATTTGCTAAATTATCTGTATTATCACAGAAAGTTTCAGCCAGATTTAASAGCCTTGCTGCAAGGCGGCCTGAAATAAAGCAAATATTAAATTTTGTCACTTGGATGATTTTTAAATGAATTCCCTCTCATGGTACAATTACTTTTAGAAGCCACATCTCTGAAACGCCTCATTACTTAGTGAAACCACCTTCTGTTAATGACAGCACCTTGGACAAATTTCCCCCTCCCACGTTGACAGGAAGCTCTTTGAAAAGTTAAGCCACAATTAAGCATCACTTGGGATCTATTCTGATCCTTTCTAACTCAATTTTAACAAACTTCTCCTGTTCAGAGCGTTTTACGGGGTTTGACAGGAGAATGTGGAGGTTTTTGGATTTGGAGGGAGCTGTGAAAATTCTGTGTGATGCTCTGATTTCCTCTGTGAGAAGGGGTAAGGTCTTTATGGATTATAGGGAAGGAAAAAAAACCCTTTTGGTGGGTCCCAGGCTCTGTCACCTAAGCCCCCACCCCACAGCTGAGACACCAAAGAGGAGCTGAGATGTGCTAAGAAATGTCCCACTTGGTCCTGCTCTACTCTGCAACCCCAAACAGGCAGTGAGAACAGCAGTGTTCTGGATTCCTGGAGCATTTTCTGGATTTTGGGCCTCGGGATTGGTCAGTGGAGGGGTGGGTGTGAACAACCATGGATTGTTCATAAATCCTGGGAAAAACACTTCCAAGGAAATGAACTGTCATCCTCTCCTTCCTTCCTTCCTTCCTTCCTTCCTTCCTTCCTTCCTTCCTTCCTTCCTTCCTTCCTTCCTTCCTTCCTTCCTTCCTTCCTTCCTTCCTTCC